TCATTAAATTCGGCGCCGCGTATGCAATCACGATAATATGTCTATTATCGAAAGATTAATACCGATAAAATACACTTGTACGAAATATGATAACAAGTGGACATTCTGCCGTGTGCCCTTAAGATAACGCAATTATTGTAGTCCAGGGAACAAGGACGGGAAAACATCCAAACACATTAGTTTTGTAATTCTAGACAAAATGTCAAAATTGTTCATAATTGATATATTTTGAGATACACTTATTATACTCCTACAAAATAAAGACGGATAGACGCTGCAACTATTCCTCTACCGAATCAAGTAGATACTAGTGGTGCATAACATCTTGTCTAAGGCAAATTGCTGGAACTTTCCGTACCAAATATTACTTTCTAAAAAGCTTAAATTTTGTTATTTTTGAGAATTCTGAAATTTTTGAAAGATTTTGTCTTTTTCGAATTTCTTTGAATATTTTGAACTTTTTTCAAGCAATCGCACTTCGTTAGCTGTGTAGGGACGAAATATCAAAGCGCGTAAGAGCTGCGTCGCAGTCTAACGAATATAACGAATATACCAATACGGAACCCATAGAAATGTAAACAAAACTTGTACTTTATAAAAATCTCTATAAAATATCAGATAATTTGATGTGCTTATGTCTAATAATCATTTTTGACCGCTAAATGGTATTTTTTAACTTCCCGAAGGAGAAGTTTATGTTTTCATCAAAAAAACCGATTCGCTAATTTTATATTTTCTCGACGTTTCAAGCCATTCTGAATCGAATAAGACCAAATCTGAAATACAGATTTTTTGCTGTAAATCGACGTTTTCTCAAAAACGGTTGGACCGACTTCAAAAATTTAAAAGCCATTCGGTGTATTTCGATGAGGACTAGCGTTTATCAATTTTGCGCAATTATCAGCGAAGCCGTTTCTTTGATTAGTTTTTGGTAGAGATCGGCCGGGCCGTTTTCTTGTAATAAAGTGTTAAAAAAATTCGACGATCTTTATGAATTTTTTTTTGGCGGTAGGTACCATAGTCTTACAGATCATACTAAAATATTACGGCCTTACGACAAGTCGTTTAATTTTAAAAATTCTTCAAAGTTTGCAAAAATTAGTATCGTTTTTTTTTTTGGCATTTGTCAAAATTATCCCTTTGAGCGACGTTTTCTCAAAAACGTCTGAACCGATTTCAGAAATTTAAAAACCATTTGATGTATTTCAATGAGGACTATGGTTTGTCAGTTTTGTGAGACGATCTGCCGAGCCGTTTCTTTGTAATTTGGAAAAAAGTGTTAAACTTTTCGTCCACATTTAAACTCTTTTTTTTTAGCGATATATATCATGGTCTTATAGAACTTACTGAAATATTACGGCCTTACGACAAGTATTTTAATTTGAAAAATTCATCAAAGTTTGAAATAATGAGTAGTTTTTTTGACGTTTGTCAAAATTAAAATTAGACGATTTACTTGGTATAACGATAGAGTACTTGGTCTTACTTAACATACTAAACCATTAAAGATCTACGGAAACTGGTTAAATTATAAAAATTATTGATTTTTTAAAATTTGCTTTTAGAAAATACTCCAAGTTAACGTGTTTATTCGTTTTCAATTATGTGTAATAAATCCACTCGGAATATTTTTAATCACTCATAAATAAATTTATTTTATATTGTTTATGTCGATTATTTACACATATCGGAAAGTTCATGTAATCAACTAGTTTTACTTTTTTCATTGGATCTCTAAAACCAATAAAAAAAGTCGACCTGTATACTCAAAAATGTAATAATTTCTTTATTTTGTACATTACATACAATTAATACAAGTAAAATTTTTGGACTTAATAAAATCGGACGTTCTGTACTCTCAAAAGCTGTATTACCATTTTTGCCCCGTATCTTCGAAAAGGCTGGAGCTGCCCTGGCTAAAAACTAATGAAATAATTAGTACGTTTCCTTATCAATAAAATACGAATGTTTTTTAAATCATTCACATTTGCCGTCAACGAAAAATTGTATCCGTCTCACATAGTATAAAACTAATTAGATTTATGATAGATACAATTGTATGTTACTTGTCAAAAATGACTCTTCTGAACACTTTTATATACTATATCGTTTGTATCTACATCCGATCAAGACAAAAAAATGTTTTAATTCCTACTTCTTACCTCTGTTACAATTATAAGCCATTAATACAATAATAAGCCCCTGTTTCCCCCTCCCCTCTACTAATATTTCAGATTATAATTATAGAGAACAATTATTACAATCCATTGAAAGTGAAATGGCTTCAATGCTATACAACTTTACTTGCATCACTTGAACATAAAACAACGTAATAAAAAAAACGAAACCATGTTTTTTCTTTACAAATAATCACGAAGAAAAATATTTTTTAAAAACATTGAAAACTCACCACTCTTTCACTTTTCAGAAAAGATTTTAATAAGACTTTTTTCAGAATGCAAATTGAAACACTTTAAATGAAAACGAAAAGAATAGAGTTAAATGACAATTTCTTAGTTTTAATAATACGAAATAATCTGACACTTATCATTCAAAATCATTCATTTTTATACATGAATACTATTTTTATTTAATCCATTCAAACGTAGAGAAGACAAAAAATAAAAGTGAATGATATTTGTTTTCAATAAAATCGACCGATTATAAAGGTGTGGTAGGACGCAGAAATGTTAACCTTTCCAACAAATTATACCGCATGGAATTGCTATTGCATCTTCTCAACATTGTATGCATTATGAACAAATGAAATATATAATGTTAATTTTCTATTGAAAATTGACAATTGCAAATTTTATTGAACTTCTCAATTTAAAATTATACATATTATACGAGCTTTTATTTTGCACTTATTGTAGAGCGGGGCACAAAGGACTAATTTGGCTTTAAGCAATTATTTTGTAAAATCAAACCAATTATATCAAAACAAAATACACATATCAAACAAACTGACCATGTTCAGTAAAATTGCCAGTTAATTCACCATTGTAGGAATATGTTTTTTGCTATTTTTTTTAAAAATTGTCATCTGGTCTTTTTTACCAGATAGGCGGAGTAAATGGGAGAGCCAGGGAACAAAAACATTTTATTTTCACTTTTTGTAAAAGTTTATAAAGTAATAGCTATATTATGCAATCAATAGAACAAAGTTAGAAATCATAATGTAAATATGTATTTTTAAACATTTTTTCAAATCTTACTACTTTATAAATCTTGCTTTTGCAATTATTTCTGTTAATTTATTATGATCAGAATCATTAATTCTTGAAATATCATAACTGCAAATGAGATTAATAAAACTTATGTTTGAAATACATATTTTATGGGCACTTTTTTATAAAGATCATATGGAACTTCGAAAAAAGAATTTATCATCAGTATTGGAATAACTATTAATTTAATATATCTTCTATATAACTGTTTTTGTACCGTATTTTATATATTTATTTACTATTTTCTTTTAGGTTTTAACCCAATCGCATGTAAGCTATCTATCTTGAAAATAACAATACATTTTATAAAAGAATTTAATAATACTTAAAAATTATATTGTAAACCTCCACAACCGTGCTTAAAAGCAAAATGTCTAACAATTAAAAAAAAACTTTTATTAAATATTTGACAACGTGGCCGTTTATCTCATAATTACAATGTCGTCTGATTTAAGGCGATGGTTGATTACACATCATTTTTCCACTACTTCGAAATAGTATCATTGAACAAATCTACACTTTACTTGTTTTTGAGATAATGGTGGTGAACTTTCTAATACGCGGGCCTTTAAACCTTTTACTACCCTACTTACTTTAAATTGACTTGTTTTCATAAATCAACGTAAACCGTCATTATTACAACTAAAAATATATAGAGTCTTCTACAATCAAAATCAACGTAAACAACAATTATTATCATGATACGAATAAAATATGTGCGTAGTTTTTACTATAACACAGTGTACATTATCTTTGACCACATCTTACAAACTATACATCCATCTCATCTTCATACCAGACAATAGCTAGACCAGATAATATCATTCTACAACTAGGAGCAAGATTTTGTTCCAATTGCACCGATGTGTGATTTGTTTAAATTATTAAAGATAACTATTTTAACAATTTAGCAAAGACAAAAATTATTACACATTCTCATAGATTGGCGAATTTGAAGCAAAATAATATGTACAAATTTTAAAATTAGTCGAAAATAATAACCAAACTAAAAATTTATTATAATTCAACTTTATATTACCAATAAAAATGATGCACTTCCACACTTTTTTCAAGAGCTAATCAAACTGCCCAAAAGGACCTAAAGCATACCGATAGAAAAATATTTCATTTTATGGAATAAGAATAAAAAAATATTAAACAAAATGTATTTAATTTTTTTGTTTCATATTTATTACCACTGATAAATCGTTAGAACTCCTTAGAATTGATAATCTTGTTTAATTCAAACAAATCACAACAATAACTGGACTTTTTTACCCGCGGGCCTTTAAAAACCACTCTACCCTACTTACTTATACCTATAGTGAATTACCCCTACTACTGAAAACGCTGAGTGTAAGAAATTTGCTGTGCTAGAAAACTAAAAGTATTAACATTAACAGCATATATTTTGGTAAAATATGCAGTGGACCTTTGGGATTAAACAACTTTGGATTTCTATTGAATTCGCTATGTTTACGAAAACGGCGAGTTATATTTTTAATAAAACGATAGAATACTTAAAAAAATGTATTTAAATACAAAAACGAAATTTATCAGAATCAAGATTTTTGATTATCCTAAATTTTTCCGCACCTAAATTCACGAACCCAAATGCATTTTGAACCTATGATGAATGAATGGCGAGAAACCAGAAAAACTTCTGACACTTTTCACAATATTGGATAAAGAGACAAGACAAGAGACCCCGTGGTGGGAGGTTATAAATCACCTGTTCGAGTTGCAAACGGCTGCTAGTGTTTATTTATCTTTGCTCGCAAAAACAAATCACATGAGGGACAACGCATAGCCGAAGTGACATTGGTCAACACGCTGTGATGTGGATTAGTTATCCATGACTGTGCACAGATCAATTTCAGTGATATAAATTAATATTTGAAAGTGAAACTAAAAAAGAAGCTTAATTTCGTGACGAATCGAATATAAATTGTATTGTTGAAATTTTTGCGCGAAACCAACAAGGTAAGTTTGAATTTTAACTGCATTTTTTAAAATTACAATACTGATAAATATCATATAATTCTTTTTCTAAATTTTACTACCTCTATATTAGTGAAACAGCGGTGAGCATGGCCCTAATGGCAACATGCTCGGCTCGCATGATAGAGGTACCGCGATCGAATCTCACTTCTTTGTATAAAAATTTACTATGAATGCTGAATACGGTATATAAACACGTATATGCAAATTCGACTCAACAAAATTTGAGAAAAAAAGTGATCATAAATAGAATATAAAAAAATAATGCATCTTGAAATCAATATGTTAAAATCTTATGAATAAAACAAAACGTCGAATGGATAAAAAAAATGAATATGATAATGTGCATGGCTTAATCCTTTCGTGAGGTTAATAAAAACAATATCAGTGGAACGTAAAAACGATGATTAAATAATTAAATTTAATAAGAACAATTAGCAATAAATTATGCGTGACATCATTTAGGAATTGAATAGAATATAAATTGCGATAATAATGTAAAGTGTATAACTTGAATTTTACAAATGTATGATATATATATATATATATATATATATATATATATATATATATATATATATATATATATATAATATACAACGATATAGTGTCACCTTGAAAGTTTTAAAATGATTTCTATAAAAGAACAAAAAAATGTGGAACTGAAAACTATTCTGAATGACTCAAATAAAAATGTAGCGTTAAATTAATAATTATAAGTGATGGCTTATCATATATAGTGTAGTACTCTGTAAAAAATCACATTCCAAATTCGACTTTCATAGCGCATATTATATGAATTATAGAGATATTTTATTAGCCGTCAGATCATAATTAAAACTAGTGGGGTGTATGGCATCGTGCCTTAAGGCAAATTGCTGGAACTTTCTGTACCTTAACGAAATGTTCGAGAAATATTAAATATTTTCAAATAGATTATTATAAATATTGTAACATTGCCTAATATTTATAAGAATTATATAAACTGAATTGCAAAGTTGAAATTATTTGTTTAAAGTATATTAGAATTTTAGTCAGAATTAAAAACAAAATCTGAATTATTTTCGATATACAAAAAATTTTTTTTTGAAAAATAATAATAAGCTCTGTATCTTCGAAATAGCTGGGCCTGCCTTTGCCAAAACTAATAACCACTTCTCCCAATCATTACTAATTGACTGTTTTTAGATCATTTAAATCGCATGCTCCGTTCTCTCAAAAACTCGATTCCTATTTTCTGCACTCTTTGCTCTTTATCTCCGTAACTGCTAAGCCTGCCTTTGCCAAAAACTAATCAGCACATCTCCCTATCAATAGAAATCGAATGTTTTTTGAACCATCAAAATCGGTTGATCCGTGCGCCCGAAAACGTGAACGAAAAAATGCGGACACACAAAACACACACACACATCCATTTTTGCTGAGGTATGCCAAAATGTTCAGAAACCTTCAAAACGTCGAGTAATGCAAAAATTTTCATTTTCGATTTTCGGCCCATTACTATAACTACCCTACGGAAAGTTAAAAAAAGTTTTTCTCGCAAAGTAATTTAGCAATATATAATTATATTATCGAAAATAATCATTCTGTTTAATATATTAAAATAAAAATTATTTACTAATAATATCTTATATATAAATTTTCTCTACGTATGTTGTCCCTAAACTGCTTCTAAACGGCTATTCAAATTTTGATAAATCATTCAGAGGTTTATCAATGACAATGAAATCTAATATATAATAATGAAATAATTTGAAAAGTCAGGTAATCAACTTTAAATTTTATATTATACCTGATCAAAAATTCTAAATTATTCTCATTTATGTTTCCAAAATGCTAAAATTCGCATAGTTCTTAATATTATATATTTATAAAAAATATTGCTCAAAGACTTACAAAAGTATGAATTACTTTGGACTTCAATTTCATAGTTCCATTTACGTACATTTTGTAACAAATCATTCGAGCTAATCAAATGGGGCAATCGATTAGTTTTGAAATCATTCTAATCGCTTAATCCAATTTGGATTATTTAATTTCAGACAGAAAAAGTGTAAGATTTCGTGAGTATTTGAAATTGATCAATGTTCTTACAGCTTAAAGATAATAAAAGTTATCGCAGTTTGTCTCAGATTTTAAAGATTTTGAACTTGACTTTTCAAAATATAAATCTAGCACAATCCAATTGATGTATGTATAAAAGTATTTTCTTTCTTCCTTAGTTTTTTTGGTTGTGAGCACTGTTGTTTAGCTTACGAGACCTTAAAATAATTTCACATTATTTAATTGTTTTATAAGATGTATTGTTAATTAGTTAAGTATTAGTTGAATATAGCGTCTATAATTGCTTACATAGGTGGGGTAAAAAAGACCAACTGAAATTTTTACCTTGTCGCTTTTAATAATTTGACCCGCACATCACTATTTTTCCAATGATTCATTTATATCAATATTTTAAAATAAAATCTTCTAAATTAAATACATAGTTGAATTTTGTAAACACGTAAAAATAATGATTATTCAAAATCGTTATATATACGCATTTTTAATTATCATTGTATTTGTTGCAGTTAGCATGATAACTATGAATAGAATTGCATTAATAAACTTCTGATTACATAAGTTTGCATCAATTTGAATATTCCATTTTATACAATGTTAATTTATACAGTCATGTACACAAACATACATACATATATTATATGTATTGTTTCGACATATATATATATATATATATATATATATATATATATTTAAATATTTTTGCAGAATTAAAAAAAAATTAAATAACAAAATTATTTATTCAATTAAACGTTTCGACACTTGATGTGTGTCATCATTCAGTAATCTAAAAATTTATAACATAAATACACAGTTGATGATAAATATAAATATATAAAAGGAGAAAATTATACATACCAAACCAGGAAAAGCAACAGAAAAAATTAATTATGATGTAAAATTGATTGAACACTAAATTTGTGTAAAATAATAAAATACTATTATATTAACAAACGAGAAATAGAAGGAGCACATATTGCCCTCCTATATTTAATGTTATTGATAGCATTGCATTGTCGACACTGATCAATGTTACAACGCACGTGTAATGAAGGAGTGGAAGGAGGTTGTGAGAAACGAAAGGGGAAAGAAAAATAGAGAATAAATAATTTTGTTATTTAATCTTTTTTTAATTTGACGGTTGGGCTGCAAAAATATTACAAATATGTATCAAATATATATATATATATATATATATATATATATATATAATACTGAATCCGCTTTTGAAAACAGCAAAAACACATTTCTACAAAGATGAACTAGCTGCGAGTTTTACTGATTTAGTATTTATTATTTTTCATTGTGTACACCTTTGCCAGAGTAAAAGTTCAGTTGGTTCTTCTTGCCCCACCCACGTGTAAGCTTTTATAGATGTTATATACATCTTATAAAATACATCTTATAAAACATTTAAATAAGGTATATTTAAAAATTATATTAAAGTTTCGTAAACTAAACAACAATGCTCACAACCGGAAAAACTAACAACGAAAGAAAATACTTTTGTTATGAATTTTCAAAGATTACCGTTTAACTTCCGATAGCAACGTCGTAACAAACAAAGTGATAGATGGTTATACATTTTCCCCTCTACTTTCAAATATTGTTGTTAAAAAAAATCTTAAGCTAAGAATCTTCTCCATTTGTCTTGTTTATTTTCTAACATTTACCATGTTCTTAATTGATGACCTGAAACTCTTTCGGGATGTCGTAAAACTAGTGGTGTATGGCATCGTGCCTTAAGGCCAATTGTTGCAACTTCCCATACCAAAAATTATTTTTTTTAATAAGATTAATTTTTTTTTAAACTTTGAAAAAATTAGATTTTTGAACAATTTTACATTTTTGAAAAAAAAATGACTTGAAATTTTGATCTTTTTTTTAAAGCAATCGCACTGCTTTACCTGCATAGAGATGAAATATCAAAGCGCATAAGCGCCGTGTCGCCGTCCATAGAATAAACGATTTTACGGAACCCATAGAAATGTAAACAAAGTTGATACATATTCTCCATAAAATAACTGATAATTAGATGTGCATAAGTCTAATGACCTTTTTAACCGCCAAATGGTATTTTTTTTTTAGTTTTTCACTAGATCTCTGTAACCGCTAGACCTACCTTCCCAAAATTTAATCAGTTCTTCATCTTATCAATACAAGTAAAATGTGTTTTCAATATTTAAGTCGAACGCTCCGTTCTCTTAAAAACTGAGTTACCGTTTTGATACTTAATGCCCCGTGTCTTCGAAACGGTTAGACTTGCCTTTGCCAAAATCTAATCAGCACGTCTCCTTATCAATACGATTCGAATGTTTTTTGAATAATTTTTGATTGATCGGTGTTTCCGAAATCGTCGACGGAATTTGTATCCGCACACACGCGCACGCACACATACCCACATACATCCATTGTTTTTCTAAGGTGTGCCAAAATGTTCAGAATCCTTTGAAACATAAAAAATTTCAATTTCAATTTCTTGCGATTACTATAACTTACCCTACATGAAGTTAATAAATAACATACCTTAAAAAAATATTTTGTACCTTTTTGAGAGCTCACCATTAATTGGCACAATGGTCAATATTCGATTAATAAAATTATTAAATCGTTGAGTATGTCATCTATTAATCTCTAATACACTTTTATATATATTGCTTAACCTTCAACAATTTTTTATAATGATTATTATTACTATAATCAATATAGTTAATAAAGAAAATTATATACAGTGCACTTCGTTACGATTTTATGGTGTGAGTATGGAAACTATTTTGCCAATTCAAACTCTTATTGTATTAGTACATATAGTAGTATAATTAATAAATTGAATTATACAATTCTTCAATAGCCTATGGTTCTTCAACTACAATAGATAGATAATTAATTGTTAATCCAAACAGAATTTATATTGTAATTTT